AAAAAAAAAAAAAGCCTTGGCAACTATCAAGCACTCTTCTGTGGTGGAGACGAGCTAGCTGTGTACCAAAACCAGGTCAATTTTTTTTTTTTTTAACATGCATAGCTATACTATGTCTCCCAGCCTGTTTTGCAGTTAGACGTAGGCATGTGACTGACTTCTAACCAATGGAATTCATGCTATTTTAGGGCCTGGCCTAAAAGAGCCTCCTGTGTGTGGTTCTCTACAATCTTTCCTTTTGCTGTCCTGACTGCAGGTAAGGTTGGTGACAGTGGGGAGCTGCAGGATGGAAGGACCTATTTCTCTGATTCACAGTTTGGAGGAGGTTGCTTGCTGGTGGGGATCATCATACTGGACTTTATAATAATAGAAATCATCTTTTATGTGTTTGAGCCACTAGGTGGTCTATTTTTATCAAAATATTCAGAGCTTTACTATAACCAATGTACTCTTTAAGTGAAATTTCCTGCTTAGATTTCATGATCACTGGGGCACCTCGGTGGCTCAGTTGGTTAAGCATCCGACTCTTGGTTTTGGCTCAGGTCATGATCTCGGGGTTGTGAGATTGAGCCCTGTGTCAGGCTCCCCGCTCAGTAGGGAGTCTGCTTGTTCCTCTCCCTCTGCCCCTCCCCCACCTCGTTCTCTCTCTCTCATTAAATAAATAAATCTTATAAAAAGAATTTCATGATCAATTGTCTACTGGATAGTTCCACTTCAGTGATCTATCGCACTTCAAACTTGACCTGCCCAACCAAATTGGTATTTTCTGTATCTCAGAATGTTCTAGGTACTCAGATACAAGAATGGGTCATACAAAGTCCCTTCTCTCATAGAATTTACATTTGAATATGGGGAAATCTAAAATACACACACACAAAATTTCAAATAGTGATATGCGCTGTGAAGATAAGAGGGCCAGAGGGCTATTAGTGGCTACTTGGCAGTTAATGGGAAAATGGCCTCTGAGGAGGTGACATTATATTGAAGTTTGAATGATGACATGTAGTTAGCCATGTGAACTCCGGGGACAGAGTATTCCAGAAAGAGGGGACAGCAAATACAAAGAAGAGACATAAGAACAAGGTTTATCTAGGAACAGATAAAGAGGTGAGTCAGCTGAAGCAGAGTGACTTCAGGGAGAGTGATCTGATAGGATATCAAAGAGGAAGGAAGGGCCCAGATTGTGGAGAATCTTACAGTTCAAGGTCAAGAACTTGGATTTTATTCTAAATTCATTGGGAAGCTACGAGAGTGTCTAAAGCAGGGGAAGAATGAAAACTGAATTAAATACTGAAAAGTCCACTCTGTTATGGGAACACGAACTATGTAGAAGATCAAGAAAAAAGGGAGACTAAGCAGGAGATTATTGCAGTCATGCAGATGAGGGTATAGTGGCCTATGCTCGTGTAGGGTAGCAGGAGTGGAGAGGGAGAGAGAGCAAGGAGCTGATTCGAGATACACTTCAGACTAAGCACCAGTGGGGCTCATAGATTGGGTCGGGGGTAGGGACGCTGGTGAGTGAGAGAAAAAAATCCATACTGACTCCCAGGTCAGGTGCTCAGTTGCCTGGCTAGAGAACTCATTACCTGAGAATGGGAATTCAAGTGAGGAGTCAGGAGAGGTAGTGAGTAAATGACCCGTCTGTATTATGAAACAGGGGGTCATTATAATGGAATTAGAATGTTGGCTCAGGCACTCATTCAATAATTTTCTTGATGTCGCTGGATTTTTAGCTATTAGTAATATTTACATTAGGGGGGTTGTTATATCAAATATACCTTTGGTGTATGGGGACTAGAAGGAAGCATTATGGGGATGTGAGGATTGCTAATAAAGTTTGGTTTCTTGATCTGGGTGCTGGTTACACAGATGTGCTTTGAGGAAATTCATCAAGCCGTAAAATTAGGATATGTGTACTTCTCAAAATGAGATTCAATGCATGAAGTTCCTGTTGTAGTGCTTGGAATTCAATAAATGGCAGCCAGTATTATTTTCCCCATGCTGATACAATGAAAACCATCTCATGTGTACCTGCGGTCCATGCTGCCCATATAGGCCATTTACAAATCCTTTCACCAGAGGAAGGAACCCTAACCAAATTCTGGGGTCTTATCTCATAGTTGATACAGTTGCAACTGACTTGACTCCATGGCACACAAATGCCTCTGTGCAAACGAACTGACTCCGAGTTCCAACCCAGAGGTAGTCCTGGACCACTACGTCAATAAGTGATTCTCTAAGTTTGTTAGGATGAAGGATGGATGTCAACATAATTTAAAAAGGAACAGTCCTCCACAAGCACTAGGAGTTGTGGTAGCGATGGCTTCTTTCTCTTCTACTTCCCCCCAAGTCTGCTCATACCTGAATACTTATGATTCAAGCCAACTGGCTATTGGCCCCCAGGAAAGGATACTAAAACTTTGATTGGTTATTTCAAAGTTCCAGAGGTTAATCCTCAGGTCATCAGCTGACATGTAGGTCTCATAGTCGCTGTTGACTGATATAGAGTTGATGTGATATGTGTGTGCGTTGGCAAACACTCTTCGCGGGGTGGCCTCCACCATCAGGTCCATGGGTCTCAGGACAGGCACCTGGGATGGAAGAGAAACAAATCACTTCAGAACCAAAGCTCTTCACCAGGGAAGAAGTGTGCATGTTTATGTCCTTCACCATCACATACAAAATCATAACCAGAGTTAAAAAGCTTGAAGTTAGAGAAGTAGACTGATAAATCCCATGTTCCTGTCTCCTCTGTTCCTTTTAGTTTTATTTTTTTGTGTCTATTCCTTCCAGTTTTACTTCCTTCTCAAAAGATGTCACCATCACTTAGCCCTCATGGGCAATTTCATCCTTTATAGACTCTGAGCTTTTTTTCCTCCTTGAGGTGGCCTCATCCTGGGGGACCTGAACTTAGAATCTACTGTGCTGTCATTAGCTTCTAGAGCTATTGGTTCCAGGCAGCTTGCTTGCTTGTTTTAAACAAGAAGTATAGTTTAAAAAGGAAGTTGTGGGCAAATTTTAGAAATAGCTAGTTCAACTTTGATCTACTACATTTATACTGCAGGGCTTAGGAGGTCTAGACCCCATCCAGGCTTTTTCTTCAATCTTTAAGGGCATTTTGGGAAAATATATAACCACCCAAGATTCTAAGAGCCCAAATTCAGCCGTTAGTACATAGGGCACTCATTGATATCCTGTTTTACCTGGGAAAATCTTGGTTTATACCTGTTGTCTTCGTGTACCAACCGCATAATATCCACTTTCACATCAAAACTGTCCTAGTTTGGACAATAAAGTATATGGTTATCTTACTGATATATAAAGTGTGATATATCAGTGATTATTTGTTGAATGAGTAAATAAGAATATTTGAGCAAATGTTTTCTTCCCCACGGGTCAAAGAATCAGGCAGTTAAAATCGATTCCCACGCATGAAGCTCTTCCTGGCAAATATGAACAAAGACCCACCACTCTTTTGACGGCCTCTTTGAATTCAAGGGCACTTCTGACTACACCTGGGTGAAGTGGCTCCTGAGAAAGTGAGAGAGAACACCAATGCCTGCCTGACAGGGGACAGACTAAAAACAAAACAAACCCAAAACACAGATGTGGTCCTTTACCAGAAACAAGAAAATAAAAGGACCAAAAGCTATTTCCCTTTTAAGGAAGTCATCTCTTGCAACTGAGCTGACTTGCTGACTGATTTGCTTCCAGGTGGTCGATTAAGACTTCAACTTCTGGATTTGTTTTAACCCAGGGGGTGATGGGAAGAGGGCAGAAACAAAGGTTACATTTTGTGAAGTATACTCATCTCAACAGTATAACTTCTTATAAAACAGAATTCTCCCAGTTTAGTCTTTTTTTTTTTTTTTTAAAGATTTTATTTATTTATTTGACAGAGAGAGACACAGCAAGAGAGGGAACACAAGCAGGGGGAGTGGGAGAGGGAGAAGCAGGCCTCCCACCGAGCAGGGAGCCCGATGGGGCTGGATCCCAGGACCCTGGGATCATGACCTGAGCCGAAGGCAGACGCTTAACGACTCAGTCACCCAGGCGCCCCTCTCCTAGTTTAGTCTTGAAGGAGCTTAGCTCCCTCAAACTTTTGAGAGGTTTTAAATTAAATAATTCAGAAGAATCAGAGTACTGAATTGCTGTGGCACCAGATAGGTGATGTGAATGTAGGAAGAACCAGGGATCCTCTGAACACCAGGAAAGGGATGGGAGGGAAAGTCTTTGTGAGCCCTCCACCCCAATTATGGATAATGGTTTTAGAGCATAAGCTCAGGGATGGCAAGAACTGCAAGACCTGGGTTCTCATCACAGATTCATGACATACATAAAGGCTGTGTGACCATGGGTGATTAACCTTCCCCTCTGGGCTCTCGGGATACTATCTGAAAAACCAGTAAGACCCACTGTGCCCTAGTTATCAGGAAGGGTAGTTGGGATCTGTGGAGATAGTATGTCCTCTGGTTCACCCTCCTTCTCGTCCTTTCAGAAACATTTATTGGGCTATATACAAGGTTCTGGGGCAGTGGTAGAGCATTTGACTGCAAGGTCTGGGGGGGATCCAATTGGTGAGCAAAACAAGGTATTTCCTGCCTTCATCCAGTTGGTCTAGATGGAGGAGGTAGACATGAAGTCATGTCATAATAAAATGCAGTAAGTGCCCCAAAGGAGAGGATATCGTGCAAGGGGGGATTTAACATGGTCAGGGAGTCCTAGAGAGCTGTTGCTGAGAAGTATGGGATGGATGACTGTGAAGGATGAAAAGATGTTTACTGGTCCAGGAGGGGGAAGGAAGAATGTTCCAGTTGGAGAAAATAGCACGTGCAAAGGTCCTATGGTGGGGGTAGGGCAAGAATGAAGGGCTGATAGGTCAATGTGGGTGAGACAGAAGGAGGGATGGGAACCATGGTTAAAAGATGAAGTAACAGGATAGGTCATACGCAAGCCCCACCAACAAAAGATTGTTGCCATTATCCTTAGAGAAATGGGCAGAAATAAAACGATTTTCAATGACTGTGGTATGACCAAAGTTTTGACGAGATCATTCCTGATGTACAGTGGACTACAGGTTAGAGGACAAATGAAGTAAAAATTTGGAAAGGAAGGCTGATACACTATTGAACACCAATGAAGGGTGCATTTGAGTCAAGACTCTGTAATGGATTAAAAAAAGAAAAAGTGTCTCTGCTATTGGGAATTCTCCCCACAAATATTTATTGGGCATTTACTCCTCTGTGTCAATCATTCTTCATACATCGTCTCTGGGAATTCTTTCAACAGCTCCGTGAAATAGGTACTAATGTGAATACTATTACAAAGAGAGGCTCAGTCACTGGCCCAGGGTTGCCCAGCTCAGGAGGCTGTCTGAAAAAAGCTATTTCCCTTTCAAGGAAGGGAAAGGTTTATCTGGGCTCTGAGGCATCATCAGAATTTAATACGAGAGCCTACCTGACTGCAAAGCTGGTGCTCCTTCCACTGTCTCCCACCACACTCCTATATCATACATGGCAGGAAGTGATAAATGCTCCATTTGTGACATGAATAAACTGCACTAGTATTTAGGGAACTGACAGTATTACTGATAATAATAACTAGTGGTAGTTAAGCTGCCTCTAGAAACCTCAATTAGGTGTTGTAGGTGTCCTGGTATTTGAATGGGGGGACTCCTCTGTGTGCTTTTAAAAACACATGCCACGCTTTTGTAGTCTGTCATAAAGGAACTCCCCACCTGGTGCTTTTGAGGGCTACCTGTGCTTCCTCTGTCCCCGCTCCCCCAGAGGTAGCAGAGCTCAAAGTGGGCTCCCCAGGGCCACAGAAGAAGTGCAATCTGCAAGGACTTCCTGTGGCTCCTTCTACACTCCTCCCTGAGCCTCCTTCATTACTGCGCACTGTCTGCAGAGGCTTCCCATGGCTGTGGTGACAGGGAGGGAGCATGACAGCCAGGATCAAGAGGCATTACAAAGTGGGAACTGCCAGCCCAGAGCGTCAGCTTAACGTGACGGGCCTGCCTGCTAATTCAGGCTGACATATTCCATGATGTACCACTTAATGGGGAAGGCTCTGTGGAGGTGTCTGTGGAGGGAGCCTCTAATGCTTTCCCCAGATAAAGCAGAGGGATGAATGTTATTCATGCCAGTCCAGCACCATTCCATGCCCAGGTCAAGGTCTGTCCACTGCCTAATGATGCCCCTCACAGGAAGGAAGAGGTCTGGTTTAAGCTGGACAGCATGACGGATCAGGAAGCCCAGCTGGGACCGTATTTGGCAACTGCTCTGGCTACCTACCACCTTCTGGGCCAGGCAGGGAGAAGGGTGGGACACCATGCTCTGAGTTGGGCCCACCGGCACTCATTAGGTCTTTCTCTGTATGGCATTCATGGAGGGCTTCTCTGCCCTGTGCCTGTTACCGTGTTAGAGCCCCCCTGCCCTGAGTCCAGGACTCTGCTTCATTCAGCCCTCAGCCTTCTCAGGGCAAAGGCCTGGGGAAGATTCTTCTGTCTGCGCATTTCTTAGGGGAGGTTCAGGGAGGTGAAGTATCCTGTCCACGGTCACATGGAGAGTAAGCCGAGGGGCTGAACTGAGGCAATTTGGTTCCTGAGTGAACACACTACTGCAGATGAAACTATTAGAAGGAAATATGAAATTGCCATTTTTGCAGGTCAAAAATCATCAAATCTCCATAATTGCATACGGTTCAGCCTAATACTTTGGAAGAACTCTGTGCTATGGAGATGTGACACTGACTCATGGAACAATGAATCTTTTTTTTTTTTTTAAGATTTTATTTATTTGAGAGAGAGAATGAGAGAGAGAGAGAGCACATGAGAGGGGGGAGGGTCAGAGGAAGAAGCAGACTCCCCGCTGAGCAGGGAGCCCACTGCGGGACTCGATCCCGGGACTCCAGGATCATGACCTGAGCCGAAGGCAGTCGCTTAACCAACTGAGCCACCCAGGCGCCCTGGAACAATGAATCTTGGAAAGACTCTTAGAGCCTTTCTCAAGGACCATCCTGTGTGTGTGCATGCGCGCACGTGTGCACGTGGGTGTGATGGGGATGGGAATTTAATGAGAGGCTGTGACTGGCTAGGTTTTACCTCCTTCATCACTCTTGGCAGTACATTGGGATTCTCAATCATATCTTGCTTAAATAAATTTTTTCTGTGAATAAGGAAAGTTTGAAAACAACTGGCCCAAGCAGTACCTACAATGTGCAGATGAGGGAATCAAGACCTGCAGGGGTGAAATGCCTTGTCCAGTCACCCAGGTAGGGGCTTGCCAGCACAGTCTGGGTTTCTATCTTCCATTCTACAGCTTCCTCTGCCCCCAAACCATGTGCCTGAACCATTCTCCACAGGACCAGAACCCCCTTCCTGCCAAATGTCAGAAGGAAAACTGGACAAAACTCAGGTTCAAGCCAGGACCTTTTAGCTTGTAGTTCAAAGCCTCTTTTCCGAGCCATGTTGGCAGTGGTGGATGAGGCTAAAATCAACTCTGAGACCAGGCCTCTGCTGCATTGTGCTTGCAATGAGAAGAGCATCCTTGGCCCTCAGAGGGCGCAGGTGGGTCTGCAGTGTGCTGCTGGA